AATAAATAAGAATTTTAAAAAATTCTGATGACAGCCTCCCCTGCTCTATTTCCTCCTTCCTCCCGTACTCCTATATCCCTTTGGGAATCTCTCTCAACTTCACAGTGGTTAATCAGTAGTTAATCAGTATATCCTTTCTACCCAAAGCACTGCAAGTAACTTAATTCAAGCCATTACAATGCATGGATAGGTTAGTCAGACCTACTGGGAAAGAACGAGGGGTGGGGGTACAGGCTAGGTTAGAGTGAGGTGGGAGTGAAGGAAGAGTTTAAAAGAAAAGACATGCTCCTTCTCTGGACAGTGGAATGTGAGAGGTGATGTCTGGTACTGTTGCAACCACTGTTGCTATCCTGAGAGAGCTGTCAGAGGACAGAGCCAACGTGAGAAGGAATTCGGAAGTGAAATGCACACATAAAATCAGAGCTGGAGCTCTGAACAGATGGTGAATCTCTGGATCAGACACACTAAAGGCCAGTTCTAACACAAGGTCTTTTCATTTGTACAAAGCAATAAATCCCCTTTTTGCCTTAAGACAGTTCAAGTTGAATTTTCTGTCATTTGTCATGAGGATCCTAACCAATGAGCTCAACAACACTGATTTAATGATGCTCATGCGGCCTCAACCAGAGTATGGCAACTATCTTCTCCTTACAGAGATCCTCACCATGCAGCTCCTACAGTGCTGCCAGGATGTCCTTTCTGAAACCAGACTGGAGGCTTATCTTCTACTTACAAGCTTACAGTGGCCTCTTCTACCTTTGAAATAAAATCCAAACTCCTTAAGTACGTCAGAAAAAAAAAATCCTCAGTTTGGCCCCTGCCAACATCTCTGGTCTCATCTCTGGTCAAAATGAAAAACTTTTCTTCTTAAAAGGACACCAGCAAGAAAGTGAAGACAACCCACTGAGTGGGAGAAGATATTTGTAAATTACGTATCTGATAATGGGTTTTTACCTAAACTGTTAAAACTCAATAAAAAGATAAGTAACCCAATTTAAGAATAGGCACAAGATCTGAATAAGATGTTTCTCCAAAGATGATATACAAATAGCCAATATATACATAAAAAGATGCTCAATGTCATTAGTCATCAGGAAAACGCAAATAAAACCACAATGAGATATCACTTCACACCCACTAGGATGGCTGTGATCAAACAGGCAGACAATAAGTACTGGTAAGATGTGGAGAAACTAGAATGCTTATACATTGCTGGTAGAAATGTTAAATGGTGCAGGCACTTTGGCAAACAGTGTAGCAGGTGCTCAAAAAGTTAAGAACAGAATAATCACATGATCCAGAAATTTCACTCTTCATTCCAGCCACACTAAAATGCTCATATTTCCCAAATGTATATGCCCAAGAAAAATGAAAACATGTCTACCTAAGTTTGTATTCAAATGTTAATAGCAGTATTATGTATGTAAAAAATATAAACAACCCAAATGTCCATCAACAGATGAATGGATTAATAAAATGTGCTATATCCACACAGTGGAATATTATTCAGCCATTAAAAAGTAATGAAGTACTAGGATGCCTGGGTGGTGCAGTCAGTTTAGGTGTCTCACTCTTGCTCTCAGCTTAGGTCGTGATCTCACGGTGGTGAGATCAGGCCCCACGTTGGGCTCCACACTCAGTGTCAAGTCTGCTTGGGTTTCTCTCTCCTTCTTCCTCTGCTCCTCCCCCTCACTCTAAAAAATTTTTTAAAAAAATGAAGTACTGATACATGCTACAACATGGATGAACATTGAAAACATGCCGAGCAAAAGAAGCTAGTGTCACAAAAGACTGCATATTGTATAATTCCATTTATATGAAATTTCCAGAAATTTATACTGATAGAAAGTAGATTAGTAGTTACCTAGGGCTGAAGGGAGTGGGGTGGGGTGTGTTGGAGGGGGTGATGGCTAAAGAATATGGGGATTTTGGTGAGGGGTGGAGTAGAAAATGTTCTAACATTGATTGTGGTGATGGTTGCACAACTCTGAACAAACCACACTGAACTATACACTTTAAGTGGGTGAACTGTACGTGAATTAGATCTCAAGAAAGCTGTTAGAGGGAAAAAAAAAACACCGTCCTGCTCTAGGTCACCTTTCTTGCCTCCAATAAAACTGACCATTCTAAACATGAGTCCCCACTGTTCCCTGCAAGAGCTTTGGGTGCATGCAACTGACACTCAGGCCTTCTTTTTTGTTTTCCTCTACTAAACTGTGATCCTCAAGCAGAGATTTGGCTCATTTTTCTTAGAATCCATGGTTATCTGTACACTGTGTATACACTATGTGAAAGAGTACATCATAAGTATTTACTAAAAGACTGTCTTAAGGGCTGTCATGTGGAAAAGGGACTGTACTTATTTTACATACTCCAACGGGCAGAAATGAAAGTTACAATGACAGATTTCAAGAATTTTCAAATAACTGGGGTTGTCTCCTACTCTAAAACAAGGATTTCAGTGTTCTTTCTCAGAATTGATACTCAAATTCTGAATGTATGTTTAGGTAGTATGTGAATTTTTCTAGGGAGAAACTCCGTAACTTTCATCAGATTCTCAAAGGGGTATACATATATAAACCCAAAACGGTTAGGAATCACTGTTTTTAAAATGTCAGCATACCGGCACAGGGATTTTAAGTAGTTTAATTTTTATTGAAGTATAGTTGACATACAATGTTACCTTAGTTTCAAATGTATGACATAGTCATTCTGTAGCTCTATACATTATTATGCTCACCACAAAATACAGCTACCATCTATCACAACACCACGAACACCACTGACTATACTCCCTATGTTGTACTTTCATCCCCATGACTTACTCATTTCATTACTGGAAGCCTGTATTTCCCACTCCTCTTCACCCATTTTGCCCATCCCCCCCCATTTGGCAACCATCAGTTCTCTATATTTATGGGTCTATTCCTGTTTTTGTTTGTTCATTTATTTTTTAGATTCCACATAAGTGAAATCACATAGTATTAGTCTTTTTCTGACTTATTTCACTTAGTATAATATCCTCTAGGTCCATCCAAGGGCAGAGAGTTTAGTTAGCAAAATTTCAGTTACTGAAATTTATCATTCAGGAGAAGTTTCTTCCTAGATTATACTCCTTTGGTAACTAATGCAAAAAGAATTCACAATAGGGGCACCTGGGTGACTCAGTCGTTAAGCATCTGCCTTCGCTCAGGTCATGATCCCAGGGTCCTGGGATCTAGCCCCGCATCGGCCTCCCTGCTCGGCGGGAAGCCTGCTTCTCCCTCTCCCACTCCCCCTCCCCCTGCTTGTGTTCCTGCTCTCGCTATGTCTCTGTCAAGTAAATAAATATTTTTTAAAAATTCACAATGTTAGTAGCTTCATAAACTTGAATTATTCATTTAAAAATATTTATCAACTGCCATTTTAGGCAGATGCTAAAGAAATAGTGGTAAACGAGACCAAGCCCCTGCCCTCATGAAACTTACACTCTGGAAAGTAGAAACAGAAAAAAAGTGAGTAAATAAGAACATTTCATATCATACAGTAATTCCTTCAAGAAGGAAAATAGAACAACATGAAGGAACAAGGAAAGATGCGGGTGGAGTTATCTTAGCTAGGGTCTGTAGGGAAAGTCTCTGAGAAGGTTACATTTGAGCAGAAACTTGAGTAATTAGAAGGAAGCTGAGGGAAGAACACTCTAGGAATAAGAACAGAAAGTGCAAAGATTCTAAGATGAGAACATTGGATATCAGCTCTTGAGTTCTCAAGGGAAAGAGCCACATTAATTTCTATACAACATTCAGAAAGTATCTCCCACTCACATTCAATAGAACTTATTCAACATAATTCAGCATAATGGAATCCAATTGAGTAAAATACTATTTTAGAAAAATCTTTACTGCTTCAGATCATCATGAATTAATCTTCAAGGCAGACAAGGCAGTATCATTAGACAAAATGAGTAAAACCTTTGGGATTCTGTAATAAAGCAGAAAGGAAAAAAATAACATGATTTTTTAGAAGTCTCTTCCAGGTAGTTTTACAAGCATAAAGTTTATCAAGCACATTGTATCAAGAGAATTCTCAGTTCAATCTGTCCTCCACCCCTAGAGCTTAGTGCTTTTCATCTGCAGTATTTCTATCTATAATGTGCAAAAGAGCGGAATGGTAGTCAGTGTGCACAAATTACAGGGAAGTGGATTTCAGTTCAAAAGGAGCTGTCCAATCATCAAAAGGCTGAACATTACTGGAAGTGTTTAAAGACTGTAAAACCATCTTCACGGGCATTAGAGAGATAACTTACAGGAGAAAGTTACCAGAAGAACTTCAGGAGCTAGAGAGAATTGTTCTAGTTCCTTCTTTCAGCCTGGACATCCATCCCTTTGCACCTATTATGTAAAAGCCCCTGAACGCAACCAACTGGATGGATTTGTAAACACCATACACACCATACCAGTAACAAAGGATTAGCAAACACTTAAGGGGAATGTAGTAATTCTTCGTCTCAGTAACTGAAGTTTGAATTAAAATCTTCATATTATATTTAAAAAGTCACAAAGACAGCCTGAAGCGAGGCGCTGCAAGTACACAAGGACTTCAGATTAACAATAGCAATGCCAATTGACTTTACTTCATACAAAAGCACGACACAAAGCACACAGAAACCCCAGAGAGGGGAATCCAAGCGGGAGCCCTCCGGACTCAAAGCACCTGGACAGATGTGACAGCTGAGTGAAGCCAGGGACGGGAGCGGGGAGGGCTGCGAACAAAGGGTGAGTGAGAGACCACCTGGAGGATGCCCAGGTACGCGCGCCGGCATCCCCGGCCCTTCCTTCCAGCAGAAGGTCGGGACGGACCCATGGAGTCCACCGTCAGCTGACGCCGAGGGAACCGAGGGGTTTGGCACCTCCCCAACGCCGCCCGGTCCGCCCTCTCTAGCCGGTTTGGAGGAGACCTCGAATCACCCCTCCCTGGAGCTGCGTTCTCCGTACGCCGAGAGGGAGCTAGCCTGCGCTTACCTTCCGGCGCCGGCTCCTGCCGCTTTCCGCGGGACAGGAAGGCCTTGGGCAGCAGCAGCGACACGGCCAGGATGAGCCCCGAGGCCAGGGCCACCCTCTGCACGGTGGAGTACGCCATGGCCGCCGCCCTCGCCACAGGTGCAGACGCCAGCCGGAACCGGAACCGCCGCGCCGGCGGCCTCCTCCGACCGAACCGTGGGCTGCGCGGACGGCGACGCGTGAGGGACAAGTGCGCCAGGCACCCGCACGGCGGTCCCCGTCTCCGTACACGCACCCGCGCCCGCGCCCCCGGGTCTGGGCCAACTGGAAACTCCTCCCTCTCCACGCCCCGCGGTGAGTTCTGCCCTTCCTTCTCCGCATCCGGCTGGCCGCCCTGCTCGCCTCCCGCCCCCGACCACGCCAGCGAGCTCCCTACAGCAAGCAGCTCTTACCGCAAGCAGCTCCCACCGCTCGCAGCCAGCCTCCGTCTGCAGCCAAACGGGAGAACGTAAGCGCGTCTAAAGATCTCGCTCCACGGTGTGAAACCTTTCACGAACACCTCTTGATCCTCAGCACAACCCTCACATCTTTCTGTGACCTCAAGGCCCTGACCGATCTGGTCTGAACAGTGCTGCATCCGGACTAGATCATTTGCTCTTTCCCTAGCAGATTCTTTGCTTTCAGGGAAGCTTGGTTTGTCCCGTTCCCTCTGCCTGGAAAATTCCTAACGTCGTCTCCGCCGGTTAAAAACTCTGAAGAACTGAAAAATTCTACCTCCATGAGACTTCTCCAGTCAGCCTCTCCTTCCTCTATTCCCACAGTCCTTCCTTCGTGTCTTTATTCATTTATTTATACACATTAAATAATAAACATTTAGTTCCTAAAATGTATCAAATCGGGAAATGGCACTTTAGGGTCTGATGAATAAGATGGGTTTCCTTATGGGGCAGATAGGTATCTAAACACGAAAATGCAGGAAATATTCTGGACCCTGGAACAGTCAGCTCAACTGGAAGCTCCTGAAAGTAGGTGAAATTTGAGTTTTTGAAGAACAAGTCACTAGACAGGTGGGAGGAGTTAGAGTATTCAGACAAAGGTTGCAAAGAAAGCGAAGGCATGAAAGCCTGTGTGCCTTCCAAAGATGACTAGTGATTCATTTTGGCCGGGCCATAGGGCTGGTGACAGGATATAAAGTGATAAGGCTACAAATATAAACAGGAGTGAAATTGTGAGAAGCCTGGATATAACTTCCAGTTCAACATGGCAGATGGAACACACCCATTTATCTTTCCACAAACATGAAAATAAAAAGTCTATCTACTACAAGACTAAGGAGAACGAAAATGACAAGAAATGTCAACATTTTGTAAGATGCAACATTATCCAATAGAAATGACAGTCACGTATGTAATTTAAAGTTTTCTAGTAGCCACATTAAAAAAGCGAACAGGTGAAATTCATTTAATACGTTTTATTTAACCCAATATACCCAAAGTATTATTTCAACATGTATAGCACTCGTAAGTCACATTTCAGTGGCTTAATAGCCATGTGACTAGTGGCTACCATATTGGGCAGTGCAGGTGTAGAGCATAAAAAGTGAAGTACCTACTGAGGGAAAGCCCCTAAGAGGAAAACTAATTTGCCCCTGAGAAGCTAGGAGGTCTTAAAAATTGAGTTCCTTTAAAGGCAGAGATGTGGAGTGGGGCTGAATAAAGGATTGGTTGAAAGTCTGGTTAAGAAGCAGGTGAGATCGGGCGCCTGGGTGGCTCAGTTGGTTAAGCGACTGCCTTCGGCTCAGGTCATGATCCTGGAGTCCTGGGATCGAGTCCCACATCGGGCTTCCTGCTCAGCAGGGAGTCTGCTTCTCCCTCTGACCCTCTTCCCTCTCGTGCTTTCTATCTCTCATTCTCTCTCTGAAATAAATAAAATCTTAAAAAAAAAAGCAGGTGAGATCCTCCAAATCTTGTTCCTCAATTATTGCAGCTGGGTGGTTGCCCCTGTCAGCATTGCTCAGGCATCATCATTGTTGATACCAACATCACTAAAAGTTGAGTACTTATTATTTCCCGATATTTTACATGTCATAACAATTGATTCTAAGAGTTTTATGAAGTAAGCAATATAATATACCCACTTTACAGATGAGAAAAACCAAGCAACAGAAAGCTTATGTAACTCCCCAACAATTACACAGTATCAATCGAAAGCTTTTACTTGAACCCAGGCATGCTTACTCCAGGACTTGCGCTCTTAACCACCAGTTTTACTCTCTGGAACCAGGGAAGCTCTGGACTCATGGACAACAGGTGCAGCCTATGGAGGTGGTACCTTATGGGATATGGCTTCTAAAAGGTACAGAGAAAACTGTGATGACCCCCCCCCCAAAATTCTGACTTGGGTGACTGGATAGGCATTGATTCCATATAACGGCATTTTGAAAACAGAAGAATCAGGTTCGTGAGACAAGGAGTTCAGATTTTGACTAGTTGAATTTGAGTTCCATGAAATATCCAGGTACTGCTATCCAGTTGGATATATGGGTCTGAAACTCACAAGAGATGTTTGGGCTAGAAACAAATATGGAAGCGACTGGCCCTTCAATAGTTAAGTGAAGTCTGGGAGAAGATAACATCAGCAAGAGTGCTCATAGAGAAGTGAGGAGAGGCCACAGTAGGAAACCTAGATTACACCATTATGTTGAAGTTCCCAAGTATGAGGACAGAAATGGGGTGGAAAGGAAGATAGTGATCCAGGTGTTAAAAAATCTTGAATAAGGAGTTACTGGGAAGTTAGAAGGTGACAGAAACAGAAGGTGTAATGAGCAGCCAGAAGACATGCTCTTGTATGGAGTGGCAGGTTTTGTGTTTGCTGGTTTTGAGAGTGGTTGTAGCGGCGGCAGGCTCTCCTAGGCATACTTCTAAGTCCTTTACCTGGAAACATGCATTGATGAGAATACAAAACTCTGAATAAATGCCTGACCCTAATTGTTAAAGCTTAATCTCACGTATTTTTTATCATTCTGCCCTCGAACAAACCTTTTTTCCTCCTGCCTACCATCCCACTGCTGTGGAACTTGTAAACTGCTCCCTTAGAAGCTTTCTCCCATGTTCCTGGCATTCTTATCCCTCTGCTAGTTGCCTTCCCAACATTCCGGATTTACCTTTATTCCACCTATCTTGACATCCAATTTCAGCCCAGAAACAAACTGCTCATGGATCACAAGACCCAGGACAGAAAGCCTACCTTTCTCCGGTGTACAGTAGGAAGCAGAGAAGGGCTCTTCCAGCCTTAAACCCCCAAAGAAGGGGAAGACCTCCATCTCCTTCTCCTCAGAATCTCGTTCTACTTTGTCTTTTAATGACCAGCAGGGCTCCCTGATATGAGGCCCAGGAGGGCCCACAGCCGGAGCCACTTATCTGCAGCTGCTGCCAATGATTTCCTTCCCTCCACCCCTTTCACAGCTGACCTTGCCTAACATAGAAGGCCCAAATAAATCTGAACTGCTTCCAGGAAGCTCTCCCAGATGCTCCAGCTCATGCTAACTCTTCTTTCATTGAATTGCTGTGGACACTGTTTATCATGGGTTTGCTGGGTTTTTTCACCTGGATAGGAACCCCAGGAGGATAGGGTTATATCTTCTTTCCATGACATGACCAAGCATGGAACTGGCTCACAGTAGGTACTTACTGAAGTATGAGGCTGCTGTTTTCACACACATACACCCCCCCACACACACATATACTGATTTTGCCACAGCTCCAAGCAACTATCCATCTTCCTAGGAATCAACAGTCAGAGTTTCCTTGAAGAGTCAACCCAATAGATATATAAACTACCAGTTACAAAATAAATAAGTCCTGGGGATGTCATGTACAGCATGGTGACTGTGGTTAGTAATAATGTATATTTGAAAGTTGCTAAGAGAGATCTTAGAAGTTCTCATTATAAGAAAAAAATTGTACCTATGTGTAGTGATCGATGTTAGCTAGACTTATTTTGGTCAGCATTTCACAATATATGCAAATATTGAATCATGTTGTATATCTGAAACTAGTATGTTCTTTTCTAAAGCTAATGTGTTCTATGTCAATATTCAGTATATTTATATTTCAATTAAAAAAGATATGGTTAAAAAAAAGAGTCACCCCAAAGTCTCATTTCAAAAAGTCACTGATTTTGCCCACTACAGGTCACTCTACCTCATCCACCAAATTTGCCCCCCTAGTGACCACGATGGTTAATTTTACGTGTCAACTTGGCTGGGCCACAGCGCCCAGATATGTGGTCATGCATTATTCTGGATGTTTCTGTGAGGGTGCTTTTTTTGATGAGATTAACTTAAATCTGTGGAATTTGAGTAAAGCCGACTGCCTCCATAATGTGGGTGGGCCTCACCCAATCAGTTGAAGTCCAGCACAGAACAAAAGTCTGATCTCCCCTGAGTAAGAGACAATCCTGCAGCAGGAGGTCTTCAGACCTCCTGGATCTCCAGTCTGTCAGCCCACCCTGAAGATTTTGGACTTGTTCAACTTCTATAATCACATCAGCCAATTCCCTAAAATTAATCTCTCCCTTTCTCTCTCTCTCTCTTCCTCTCCCTCCACTCCCACCCCCCATCCTGACCACACACACACACACACACACACACACATCCAATTGGTTCTTTCTCTGGAGAGCTCAGAAAAATACAGTGACTTTGCCTATTTCCAAAAATGTAATTCCCCCATGATTGAGGTTTTTCCATCCCACAGGAGATTCCAAGGATGCACCTTGGTCTCCGAAAACAGTTCTAAAGAAGAGCCCAAAGGAAATAAAGTAAAGTCATGGGCCCTTAATATGGGCAGGAAATTGGGGTGGTCCAATTGGAAATGAGACCCAAATATCCAGAACACTGAGCAGAAAGGAGCAAGGCCTGTATCTCCAAAGCCCAGAATGAAGATGCTAAAGAAGGAAGCAGAAGATGGGGTAGGATGCACACAGAGGGTATATTGGACCAAGGCCTTGAAAGAAGGGTAGATTTTCCATCAGGGATGAAGGAAATGTGATAAACACCTGTTCACTGTGGATGTCCAAAATCTTTTGAATATCCTCTCTTTGATGTTATCCACATCAAGAACCTCACATTGTCAATATAGA